TAACTTAATAGTGTACACCTGTAACAACAGCTGCGGATTGGCCAACCCCATGGGCCATAATTCAACCAGTCATAGACGGCTGAATGTTCAAATGGTGTCCAAATAAGGCAAATGGCGAGCTGTAACCACTCTCACTGTTTCTGTACCTCACTTCCGATACCTGTACGTCACTTTATCTTTTTGGTCTATAAATTTGTTCTGACCACAAGGCATTCCTGGAGACTCTGTGAATCTGCTGTGATCCTGGGGGCTGCCCGATTCACAACTTGTTCATTGTTCAGTTAAACTCCTTTAAACTGAATTTGGCTGAAGACTTTCTTCTATCATCAGTCATGAGGTCCCATGAGACAGCAGTGACAGACTGGAAGAAACTTTAGACAGTAATTCTTGGTGGGAAGATAACTTGAGTTAAACCCAGAGTCTTGAGACTGAAATACTAAAGATATTTTGCACAGGGGTGGTGGTGAGAGAAGTGTTTCTTTTAATAAGCTCCCAAACACCACCCGCCTGACTCCTGTAACTTACGGCAATGAAGGCAGATGAAGACGCCTGGCCTTAGATTGAACATACACTCTTTCCACTTTGTGTTTGCTAATCTCATGTAACTCCTTTTAGTTTCTTTATTATGATTATTATTATTTTAAAACAAGCATTAAAACGTGCTTTGGCGCTCTTGCATATGCAAATAAGCAACCCTGGGAGGCTGCGCCTTTTCCAGGCCCTGGTGTTCTTTAGAAGCCAGGGTGTGCTGGGAGCACTGCAGGTGAGGGCACAGCTTCAGCCTGAGTCTGTTCCCTGGAGTTGTCTTCTAGTGTGTGCAGTGGGCTTTATGTGGCTTCCCAGCGCTCCATCTCAGAGAAAGACAAAACCAACTGGATATGGTGTGTGTACTTGTCAGACTGTTTATTTGCCATTCACACTGATTATAACACTGGATTTACAGAAGAAACTGTGGTACAAAGAGAGGAAAGCTCCGGCGGCTCCTGAACAGCAGCAGTCCAGCTGCCCTGCACAGGCTGGGCAGGATGAATGCTCCCGGGAGAGGGGAGGCGGCCCACCTGACTGTGTACAGTGGAGTACCTGCTCTCGTGTGCTATCTAGAAACACCTCGGAGAGGAGGTTTTGGGGTATTCTTTCAACTCATCTGGCTGAAGACACGAGCTTGACAGTTCCCCTTTAGGAAGCGTTCAGTATGATTGTATCAGGGAGAAAGAACCCCACGCATGATTTTTCAGGATGCTTTGAGACCAAACCCAATAACTGCCACACAAAAAGACCCTAGATGGGGGCTTGTTTAAATAGGACCACATTTCCCGTTGCTTTTTCAATAGATGTGTTATACCGTCATTTCAATTTGAAAGTTTATTTTTTTCCACTGATTTTTATACATCCAGAATAACACAAATATCCAACAGTTCTTTTTCTTTTTTTGCACATTCATTTCCCCTAGAACAAAAAGTGAACTTAAAAAAGAGTTGGAACCATGCTATTAGTTGTTTACAAAAGTGAATAAGAAGTAGCTCATTTTAAAGTCTGAAATAAAGTAGAAAGAAGCATTTTTTTCCCTACAGTATTCAGCAAACCTAAGAAAAAGTCCTTAGAAACACACAAAAAAAAATTGAAAAAAAGTTATAGGCGTTAACAATATTTTATAATGAAGCTTAAAATCTATTTACATACATAAATACAATTAACTTTGTTGATGCAACTCTTCTGGAAGGAAAAAAATAAAAAGCCAAACGATCAGCTTTACCGATACTGACCTGGCTAAAAACAAAAATCCCCAACAAATAAACAAATATCCCAAAACGAATGTATATGCTAGGGTAAACAAAAAGGCATTTTGTTCAGATGTAAAAAAAATGTTTTGTGAGATTATTGTCAAACAAATTTTCATGTATAAAAGACCCAAACATGTCATTCCCCCCCAAAAAAATAAAAACCAACAAAAATAAAAATCACCAGGACGGAATGTCCCAAGGAAACAGGTATTTCAAGGCAGAAATCTGCAATCCTAAATTGCAGGACATTTGAGTGAAACCATTCATTTCCTTTCTAATCAGAGCATTTCTGTTTATCTGCACAGAAACCCAAGGCAGCAGAAAGGCTGTTTACTCACTGATTGTGATTTGCCCAGGAAAGTTTTCGTTGCTGCATTTGGACTGCAAGCAGATCCAACATGGTTGGCAATGCCTCTGTTCTGCTGGAAGAAACCCATAAACAGGAGAAGTCTGACTCACCATGTTCCTTTATGTGAAGGGGGAAGAACTGGACCTGCTTGTGTTCTGCGATTTGGTACTGGGTGGGAGGTATGTGCTATCTCCTTAAGAGAACATAGGAAAATGAGGAGGGAGAAAGTGGAGTTTGGAAGATAGAAGAAGAAAGAAAAAGAGGGAGATATTGGGGGGAAGAGAGAAAGGAAAATGTATTTATAGCTAGTGAGAGAAACAGAAAGAACTGAAATATGTGCCCATGTTGAAATCATAAATAGGGACATGAGTAAGCAGTAGAAATGGCTTATTCAATACTTCTCCTGGACCAATGGTTCCCAGATACAAGCAGTTATCACATGACTGGCATAAGGATCTCATTGATACCTTAACTTTCCTGAAGGCAACGAATAAAAAGATACCTTAATCTACCTGAAGTCAATGAATTCAATTTTTCACACACACATACAAAAATGTGGTGCGTGAGACCTATCTCCAAAACAACTAAGGTTTGATTTTTTTTCTGAAACAATTAAATACTATATATGCTGGTAAGAGTCTGTGAAACTCTAAATGACCAAACCAGTGAATCCACAATAGTGACAAGCCCTCTCCACACATGACTTTGAGAGTAAAGGTTCAATGTGAAAAATTATCTAATTCACCTTGCAGAGCATGAGGCTGATTTTGAGTTGGAATATCTTCAGGTACCAGAATTAAACTGAAAAATATAATTTTTTACTTCATTTCTCTCCAGCATTTTTGCAAGTCAGACATGGCAACATGTGCTGAAAAGAACACTTACGTTCAATTTGGGGGAAACAGGCTAATGGTCCTTTTCAGAAATTAAATTTTTACATTTGCTGAAATTTGATGGTAATTTAGCTGCAAAAATGTAATATGGAATAACATATGAAACTGAGTTGTGGAGGGAATTCTGTCTAAAATGAAAGTGAATATATTCTGAGTTTTTCTGAGATCTGCTATAGCTCTTCTCTAGATAAGGACTTGACAACATAAGCTGCTTTACCCTTTAACTCTTACCAAAGTGCTTCTGCATGTGTGTAAAACAAATAATCAATATAGATATAAGAAACCTCAAAAACAAGTTGTTTTAAATAAGTCCAGCTGTTTTTGCTGCCTGCAGCCAAAGATTTGTTTAATTTGAATGCTTAAATTTATAAAATAAAAATCAAACACTGTTCTGAAGTCCTGCTTTCAAATACTCTTCAGAGTTGACCTGAAATCGTTTCAATGAATTTTAAGAGGTACGTTAAATAACCACCAGATCATTTGGAGCACACATATGTCAGAATCAGCAGTTAGTATTTATGAGTTGTACAACAACTGCATTCTGACCAAATCCTACAATAAAAATAGTGCCATAAAATTTACAGTGACATTGGATACCTTTGAATTGTAGCCACCGAAAGTAGTGACATGAATCTTTCCTGTCACACTGGTGCACAGGTAAAAGTCCACACACCCCATAGGGTAGGGCCTCAGCATGGTGAAAGCAACACAAAGATGTTGTGAGCAGCACAGGACCGGGGTGGGGGGATGGGGGGGGTCTTGCATAGGTGGGACCATATTTTCCCATTTGACTCCACTGAGGCACACAGAGGGAAATTGGCTCCTGGAGGTCTGCTTCTGGTGGGCCCCTAAATTGCTACAATCATAACCCCTAAATTCATTGATTTGGTTCCTATGTAAATGTGGCTCCCCTACACAGTTTACTTTGGATGTGTTCTGTTATACAGCATCTGTGAAATTATCAGATGACCATGAGGTGAGCAAATCCCTGGGCAGAAACTGAATCCTCTCCAAAGGTGTAATTATTGGCACCTGCTTCAACCCTCTGGAACTAGATTGACCTTCTCTGTTTGTAAGAAGGAAGTTAGATATGAGACCCTTTGTTGAGCCTGGGAGACAATTCCATACTTCTGATCCTTGGAGTGACCCTCAGTGTCTAAAAATCCTATTAAAAACATTGCTGCGTGAGCTACCCACTTGTTTGATGAACTTGAAAGGGAGTTTAATGTAAACAATACTTCTAGATAACCAAGTGATCACATTACTCATTCTTTTTTTTTAGCCTTCTTCAATGTGATACATTTAACTTTGGCTACTATCAAGAACAAAAAAAAATGTAGTACTTGATATTTTTCTTAATATAAGTACATTTAAATAATTAAAAAAGTATCAACACATAAGTAAATGTCTGAACATCAAGATACATAAATATCTGGGGATTCCTTGTGGGAATACAGTAGTTAAAAATGACCCAAAGCTGTAGCTGTTTCTCAAAAAAAACAGTTACTCAAAAGTCCAAAAGAAAAGTTAAATAAAACTTACAGAAAAGGGAATCATATTTCTTTCCATGGTCAAAGCAAGAAAGAAGCAAGCTCAATTTATATATATTTATATATACGTATATAAAAATAAAAACCACCCCAATGCAAATACGCATTTTGCAATTGATAAGGTGCGGAAAAATTAAAAATAAGAATTAGATGCCAAACAGGGCAAGTTGCATCCACCCCCCCCACCCCAACCAAAATTCCACACTCTTTGGAATAAACAACTTGGCTAAAAATTTAAGTCAAGGGTATAAAATCTTTCTTTTTATTCACAGCATTGCTAAATCAGAAGCATTCACAGTTTCCCTCCGGGAACCTTCCTGTTTGCTTTGCAGCGCGTCCCCTGGGTGCTGGGGCTGGTGGACACCCTCGAGGTGCGTCGGCTCGGACACTTCCGCGAGGGCCTGGGCGCAGGCGGACGGCGGCGGCGTGGGCTTCCGGGCGCAGGAGGCTGCGCGGGCCCGACCTACGGCGAGATCCAGGCCGCGGCGGGCTTGTGGAGAACAGGAGGCCCGGGCCCGGAGGAGGAGGCGGCGCCCCGCGGGGCCGAGCCAGGCCGCGCCCAGCGCCTCAGTAGGGCCTCCACACGGCCTCCTCCAGGCGCGCGGCGGGCGCCATGTTGGTGGGGGAGTTGCTGTGGCTGCCCTCGGCCTCCACCACGTCGCTCTGGTTCGGGAGGCTGGGGTTGAGCAGCGCCGAGCCGGTGGAGGCGTTGGTGCAGGGCGGCAGGATGCGCGGCGGCGAGCGCTCGCCGCCCACCATGGAGAACTGGTAGGAGCCGGCCGAAGCGCCGTAGTACAGGTGGTAGGAGGGAGAGCTGGCCTGGAACGGGCCGCCCTGCGCCTGCGATGAGCCTGGGTAGGGCGGCGGCAGGTAGGTGTGGTAGCGGGTGGCCGAACTCATGGCCGACATGCCGATGCCGATGCCCGAGGTGACCGGCGTCGGGGAGTAGGTGAAGGCACCCGGGTAGTGCATGCGGGGGTCGGAGATGGAGGGCAGCGCGGGGAACTGGCGCGGGTCGCTGAAGGCAGTCAGGTCGGGTGCCGCTGCAGGGCGGGCAAGAAAACGGAGCGGCAGTGAGTGGGGGGCCGCTGAGGCCACGGCTCTTCCCTCTGTCCCAGGGGTCCACCCAGGATGCTACCTAGGAGGATGGGAAGCCACTTAGGATTCTACTGCCCTGGAGGACAGGGACCACTTAGGATGCCACTCCTGACAGTGCAAGACCACCCAGAATGCTATGCCCAGGAGGACAGGGACCACGCAGGATGCCACCTCCTGAGAGGACGAGGACCACCCAGGATGCTATGCCCAGGAGGACAGGGACCACCCAGCCTGTCACCTCCCAAGAGGACAGGGGCCACCCAAGATGCCAGCCCCTGAGAGGATGAGGATCACCCAGGATACTATGCCCAGGAGGATGGGGACCACTCAGGATGCCACCTCTTGAGAGGACAGAAACCACCCAGGATGCTACCATCTGGGAGGATGGGGAGTACCCAGGATGCCATCTCCCAAGAAGATGGGGACCACTGAGGATGCCACCATCCGGGAGGACAGGGACCACCCAGATGCCACCTCCAAGAGGAGGGGGACCACCCAGGATGCTACCACCTAGGAGGACAGGGTACACCTAGGATGCTACCGTTCAGGGAGATAGATTGCTACCCAGAATCTACAGCCCAGGAAGATGGGAACCACACAGGATGCTACCACCTGGGAGGATGGGGGCCATCCAGAATGCTACTGCCCAGAGAGATGGGTTTCTACCCCGAATCTGTCACCCAAAATGATGAGGCACCACCCAGGAAGCTACTGCCCAGGAGGATGGTATAATGTACAGTAATATAATACAGTAATATAGAATATCATGTAATGTAATATGACATATGATATGTGAAATGATCTCGTATAGCATAATGTAATATGTATAGTATAGATATAATATGCAGTAGTATCTACTATAACATGTATAACATGTATAAAATGTTGATATAATCCCAGAGTTGGCAAACTGCAGCCTGCCAGCCAATCTGGTTGCCACCAATTTTTGCATGTCCCAGGAGGTGAGAATGCATTTTACTTTTCTTAAATGGTTGAAAAAAAATCCAAAAAGAATACTTCCTGACCTGTTAAAATTATAGGAAATTCAAACTTCAGGGTCTATCCATACTTTGGAACACATCCTCACTCAATTCTTTCATGTACTGCATATGGCTGCTTTAGAGCCACCACTGTGAAGTCAGGTGGTCAGTATAGAGACTGCAGGGACCACAAAACCTAAAATATTTATTATTATTTATGTTTTTGAGAGAGTCTCAATCTGTCGCCATGGTTGGAGCGCAGTCACGTGATCTCAGCTCATTGCACCTACCACCTCCTGGGCTCAAGCAATTCACCTGCCTCAGCCTCCTGAGTAGCTGGGATTACAGGCACCTGCCACTATGCCTGGCAATTTTTGTATTTTTAGTAGAGATGGGATTTCACCACATTGGCCAGGCTGGTCTCGAACTCCCGACCTCAAGTGATCGGCCTGCCTCAGCCTTCCAAAGTGCTGGGATTATAGGTGTGAACCACCGTGCCCGAACCTAAAATATTTATTCTCTGGCCCTTTACAGAAAAAAAGTTTGTTGACCCTCCGTTTAATCAGTATATTGATATGCCAATAATAATATAATCTAATTTGTGATATTAATATAACAAGTGATAATTTGACACTGTGTAATAATTACTAATGTAATGGATAAATATGTCACTACTAACAATATGTTATATGTAATATCCTAACAATATTAATATGTCATAATACAGTACACATAATATTTAGGCTGACTCATAGAAAATTGCCATTTTTGTAGGCCTCCGACAGTTGAAATATTGATAATTTCCCAGTATTTAAGCGAATGCATGGCTCAGTAATGACTGTTGAGTGAATGTCAGGGACTATCATTACCATTCCTCCCTCTCCATATCTACCTTCAAACTACTTCCACAATTTTAGAAACAGTAGAGACTTGAGTACACCTGGTATTCCCTATTATGTACCTCACTGGTTTGGCAACACAAGTAGATGTAGGACCTTGATTTATCTACTCTATGTTTTGCATATGTGGAAATTTTACCAGAAATGCAAAGCTTTGTCTCTAAAACTCACTGTTACGACTATGCATTATTTTGTTAGAATTATGCATTTACATTTTCACCAGCTGGCTTTAGGGCTGTCCCATGGTCCACTGGCTCTGCATTTTTCTTACGTACAGGCCGCCCTTGGGACTACAGAGGATTTGTGTGCTAGGCAGGGTTCCCTGTGTCTGTAGATGACAGTTTCTCAACCGTGACACTATAGATATTTTGGGCCAGATCATGATTTGATCATGGGGTAGAGGGGGGCTGTCTTGTTCATCGTAGAATGTTTGGCAGCATCTCTGCTTTACCCAGTAGATGCTAGTAGCATCCTCCTCCCCTCTTGTCACAACCCAGAATGTCTTCAGACATTGCCAGATATCCTAAGGGTGGGGTAAGGGGAGCGAAGTCCCTCCAGCTGAGAACCACCACTGCAGATGCAGGAGGGCACGCTGGAGTAGTTCAGGCTCCTCAGAATTACTCATTAAATGACCAGGCTAGGACTCTCCTCCTTATATCAGCAAATCCACAGACAGCAACAAACAGCAGAAACAGGAATTAATTGTTTTAAAATGTGAAGTTCTCAATCAACACAAAAAATAAATCTTAAGCTCAGATGGCATGTAGCCTGTGTCCTTTTGAGTTCAGGCTGATAGAGAAAGTTGATGGAGCCAAAAGCTTGCTCTGAAAGGAAAGCTACCAGGGTGGATTAATCTGTTTTTGGAAGGCATCGGCAGTTGATCAACTTCCTCATATTTCAAGCCTATTATTCCAGCAGGGAGAGCTAGTGTGTTCTCGTTCTCCCTCCCCCTCTCTCTCTCACACTCTCTTCCACACCCCATCCTCCCTCACTCTGATGGTCTTTTATTGCCCTCACTCGTTTTTTAAAAATGAACTCCCCTGTACCTTTGGGGTGAATGTGATGAGGGGATACACTCCTCATCAGAGAGGTAATTAAAGTTTATAGAAACAGCCCAAGTCTGTAGCAGATCCCTTCACTAATGAGGAAACCAGGAGTCTGACTTTCAAACAAACACTCCTGTTAATCTTTTCAAAGCCAGGCAGACATGTGGGCAGGGAAAAAGTTGTAAATGGACAGTGGTTCTGAGGCTGCCCTTCCTTGGCCACACTCTAGTCATTCTTGAGCCAGGCCACACCTCATTCCACAGAGTTCATCCCTGCCCGCTCACTGGGGCAATCTGTGAGCAAGCCCTGTGTCACTTGCTTTTGCTGACATGGAGAGCTGTGACATGTTTGAGAGTTAACAGGAAGCTTTACTCCATTTTTTTTCCAGTTAGATTTGTAGAGTTTACAGAGAAGCTGGGACAGGAGGAAAAGCATTAGGCAAATACAGTCAGTTTGTTGTCATCTGATGCAATACTCTGGACACAAATAAATGACTCTGCCCATTATTCTTCTTGCTTCATTTGCCCTGAGACAAAAAGGTGAATCCACTGGAAAATGAAAGGTCACCCTGTTTTACAGCAATGTCTGGACATGCTCTGCCAGTAGGTTCCAGCTACTACATGGTAATGTGATGGTACCAAGTTCCTGGAATCTGGAGTGAGTCTGTGATTTGTCATGGACATAAGAGCTGGAATGATGTTACAGTGTCAGCTGCTGTGGGAAAATAGTTCTTTCACTTGTGGACAGACCATCCAAAAACAAGAGCTGAAATGTTGCTTATGGTCTTTCTTCTATGTACACATGAACAACGTGATGCTACGAAAGACCATCCATTTGGTCAAATTAACTTTTTTACACGTATTTTGATAATAAAATACCCTCTGCCCTCTAGATATGCTCAGATTCAAATGCTCTATTCAAATGTTGGTTTTCATCTTTATGTCTTGTCTCGGCTCCCTTATTCAGACCCATCAGTCTGTACAATTCACCCATCCAGTCATAGCTCTTCTGTCCTTTTGACTGGCCTGGTGTCCCCTGATTCAGCAGCAGTGTGGGTGGAGTTGGGGACTCCTGATATTCACAGGGAGTTTTTAAGAGTCGGAAACCTAGGGCTTTGGAGGTCCAGGTATTTTGGTTGGAAATGCTTTCCCATTGATGGGGATATTTGCCATGACAGATCAAGTCTTTGCTCTCCAGCTTGACATGGATAAAAGCAGCCTCGCTCCAGGGCCCCTCCCACTGCCCCCAGAGGATTAAACAACCTGAGCAGGTAATGGCTGCCTTAAAAGGAGCTTTTGCATGACTCAGATTAATGCATGCTGTCTGTCGCCCAGGTTGGCAGCTAAACATTAATTTTTTTTAAAAAAGAAAAGTGAACCTCTAGATGACAACTCTTTTCAGACAAGGTGTGGAATCTGTCTGCAAAGGATAGAGAGAGAGAGACAGAGTCCAAGTCCCCAGCGCAGAAGGAAGCCCAGGTGGGGCTGGGGGTGGGGAGAGGAGCAGAGCACAAAGCTGTCGGGCCAGATTAAAAGGCAAAGCAGCCACAGAGCAGTGTCAGGTTCTCAAAGCTGTCGGCCAGGCAGCCACTTTCCTTTTATGTATTCCACCCCCCTCCTGCCTCCAGGTTTATGACACTTTTCAGGCCTGTGCTCCAGGCTTGATTTCTCAGAAGGAGTTCTGCCAAATTGAAGAGCAGTCTCCCATACTGTTCTATGCCACTGTGAAAACTCATCTGGAATTCTGTCCTCCCTTCAAGATTCTTCTTGGGTTCTGAAATGGGACATGGTTTTTATCTACTTCACACTCCCATGCCATAAAATGTTCTTCCTTACTCCTTGGGTGATTGAAGTCCAGGGTATTCACAAGTGTAACTGTGATATAGGACTTTGGAGTGCACATGTTACTGATTCCTTTTATTAAAGTCACCCTTCCATCTGAACACCAGTCAGCTGGAGGAGTTGGCCCTGAGGGTTCTTAGACTATAAGATGCTGATCTTGGGTGATGACCAAGTCAAGAGATGTAATAAATTCCAAAGTTTAGACCCATAGCAGGAACATTTCCAAGGAGAAGAGGCATCATTTCAAGTGAAGACCCTAGCCAGTGGGTAGAGGGGTGCCACTGAGAAGAATCAGTAAAAGCTGACAAGTGCCTTTGTTCTTGAGGGATAAGCTTCTAGAAATCACAAGCTAAACAAGATGCCATGACGTCTGTGCTACTCTCTCAGTGCTTTAGACCAGCACGTACTATGAAAATATTGGCATTAATGGTCAAAAGGAATGTGAAAACCGAGCACCTGAGTTGGCTTTTCAATTTTACTATAGCACCCAAGAATACTGGAAGGCAGTGGTTCTCACCTGGGGGCAGTTTCTCCCCCTGGAACATTTGGAAATGTCTGGAGACATTTTTCATTGTCCTAACTGGGGTAGGGGGGATGCTAGTGGCATCCAGAGGCCAAGGATGCTGCTAAATATTCTCCAGTGCACAGGACAGACTCCCCAAAGAATTATTTGGCCCCAAATGTCAACAGTACTGCTGTTGCGAATCTCTGGGAAGGCATTCTGTGAAGCTCTAAGAAGCAGCTAAGGCATCTGGTGAAACCTGAAGTAATCACAACTGTCTGGAAAACACAGTATTACACAACATTTAAAATGGCAGACATGACTCCCCTGCCCCTGTGCCTGCCCCCTAATCTGCTATAATCTGATCCCAAGAGCTGAAAAGCAGGACTCACCCCCTCCCCCCAAAACACACATGCAAGTGTGTTTGCAGGCATCATAACACTGAGGTTCTCTGAAGTATTTTCACAGTTTGATGCGGCTCCAATTTCAAAGCCCCAAACACTAAGTTTCTTCTTTTGCCTTCAACAAAGGAATTTTTCTCTGTAACTCTGATTTCCCTGCCCACGAGCAAAGGTGAGTGCCAAGCCCAAAGGGCCCATAGGTTAAATGACTAATACTTAATGAGCTCATATTAACAACAATTATGCTAATCATGACACCTGAGCTTTTCACGCTGTTCCTGTAGCCTCTGTATGAACAGCACTTAGTTGGAAATGTCTCATTTGGGGTATACAGTTGGTTCTATGTATGGGTGGGTTCTGCATCTGTTCAACCAATTATAGATCAAAAATATTATTTAAAAAAAGGATGGGTGTGTCTGTATTAGACATATACAGACTTTTTTTCTTGTCATTATTCACTAAACAATACAGTATAACAAGTATTTACATAGCATTTACATTGTATTCGATATTACAAGTAATCTAGAGATGCTTTAAATATATGGGAGGATATATATAAGTTATATATAAATATTATAACATTTTATATGAGGCACTTAAACATTCATGGATTTTGATATCCATGGGGGGGGGAAGGCGGATACTGAGAGTGGCTGTATTTACTTCCCATTCTACATGTACCCCGTCTGCTGTCTATGTGGTCTGTGAAGATTTATCACCACCACATGGAGCAGTCCCAGCAGTCCAGAGTTATGTTGGAAGAATGAGTCCTAAAAGGTGACTACTTTGGCTTTTTATATTGTTCTTAACCCTTCAGTCACCATCCTTTTTTGCCAGATGTGAACAACTTTAGAATGTCTAAGGAATCAACTTCTCCCAGCCACTTCTGCCTTCACATCCACAATCTCTGCCTCTAAGTGTGCAAGAAAATCAGTGAATGAGCATGGGACTCAGAGTCGAGATAGGTCACCTTGTCTTTAAACCATATTTTACTCATTTAATAATGTTCTGCCAACCCCTTCCTACACCTCTAGTCTCCTGGACCTTCCACCCCAGCTCAGCTGCGAAGAGTGTGTTTTCAAGTGGCTTACTTGAGAGTCGACTGGAAAGTTCTGCAGAGAGGGTTGTCATGCCGCTGGCACGTCCGGGTGAAATGGGTGTTGCTGGGTGCACAGAAGGAGAGGCAATGGATCCCAGGTACTGGTAGGACTGATCGTAGGACCACGGTGGGGATGGCTGGATCTGCCTTGTGTCTGAAGATAATCAGAAAGGTCAATTAGACGTTAAGTGAGGTGGGATTTAAAAAACAAAATGTCTTTTAATAAGAAATGAGTAGCCTTTGTTTAAATATGTCACACACATGTATGTGGCCTATGTACCATGGTTTAATAAGCCTACTCAAGTCCAAGTATCTGCCTCTGTTGGATTATTTCCCCACAAAAGAGACTGAATCCTTGGAGACTGTCACCTGATAACTATTCCTACCAAAGGTTTTATTTAATCATGCTAACAATGATGAGAGAACTGGATTACGCTTTCAAGGTAGAAATATTAATGTCCAGACTGTTGAACTGCAGTTGATTAATGTCCAGACTGTTGAACTTGACAACTTCAAGTATCATATGACTGCTGAGACAATTTCAGCTTTACCAATAATTACAATTATCATCATCAGAAACATTTTATAAATTTAGGAGATCACCTCTCTGTATTCAGTAAGAATGCAGAGTTTTTGGAGTTTTTTTTTGTACCTTTGGTAAAAAGTATTCCATGGGCTGGTAAATGTTTTATATTTAGATGAATTATCTCCCAAGGATGTCAGGAAAGAAGGTCTGGCTGGCAAACTGGCAATGAGGTCTAATGACTAGTTCACAAACCCAGCAGTAGAACTGGCCCTATCAACCAAGGCCTTCTGTTCCTTTTCAGGACTTCAAGTTTGCAACTTTTAAAAGTCAGTTTTTGAGCGGATATTTTATAGATTGCCATTATAAGAGGCCTGGGATAGAGAGGAGACGAAAGTCTGACTTCAAAAGATTTAGACAAAATGGATTTTCTAAATTTGACTCCAGCATTCAAAGGAGTCTTAATTTTCAAAAGCATCATACTGTTTGCAGATGAAAAGGAAAACCAGCTCTATTCTTAGGCAAATGTGTAAGGAAATTTAAATTGGACAGTGTCCCACTAGAAGACAGTTTTACATTTCTTTGGAGTTAAACATTAATTTTCTCTTTATGTCCCACCTTCTTGTGGACAAAGATAACTGTGAACTACCATAACTCCCACGGGTCTTTACCAGAGCTTCATGATCCTGCAAGTAGTGGTGTAGGAAGAGCAGACTTCTTTAGGAAAATACAGGGTATAAGTTTTGTATAGGTCATGACATAAAGAAATGAGCCATTCCTACTCATTATAAAATATTCAGATCTGCTTTCTCCAGGGGCTTTTCATTTCCAGCAGTTCAAGTTTGCCTTTCTGTTTATCTCTTTGAAGCTGCCACAGTGGATAACAGAATCAGACATTTGGAGACCAAGTCTTCCTCCCCAGTATTTCTGCTGACAAGCCTCCCTCCCTCCCTCTCTCATACTGATTCATTTTTTTCTTTTCTGTGTGTGCATGAAAATAGCTGATTTTTTAAGTTTAAAAAACCAGGTAGTTCCTGGGCAAATGTTTTAACTTAGAATCTTTGAAATCTAATATTAAAGAAAGGTCTTCATTGTATTCCAAATTTTAGAGGATTTAAAAAGGTGGTAAGAACAAAAGAGCTGGTCCATTTCAAACTCAGCAGAAAATAAATGTTCAACCTTGGCTGAAGTTCCTGTGTGACCTTACAGCTAACAGTGTTTCCAATAACTAAAAGCAAACAGAAATAGCAGACTGTTCAATAGTCCCATGCTACTCCAAGTATTTTGCTCCAAGTGAAAAAAACCCATATACTTAGATATTTTCTATAAGACATGTGTATATTCTAGATACACACATTTACTAAATGGATATATAGTACTCCAATAGTTTAATCATTTAAAAAGCAAACAAAAGAGGTTTTAGAATTGTCATAAAGCCCCCCAGGGTGTGAATTGCGGTACACTAATTCATGCCTTATTGTGTAGACAGCCTCACACCTCTAACCTCACGTCTAAAGCCACACTAAGCATAAAGTATTATGCCATGATTCGTGCTCTGTCATGTTTTACTGTAGCGAAAAAGTTGTGCTAGGCTTTTCTAAACTCATAATTAAACCATGCAAACGTTGCATAATATTTCACAGCCTTTAAAAAATATGCTTTGGTAAAATGATCTTTATGATTGAAGTCCCAGTTCTGTGAGTTTTTTTTTTTTTTTTTTAAAGACAGGTTTGCAGATTCCACATTTTCTGACTTCACACCATAACTTAGCTTTTCAGGTGTTGGAGTGGGTGGGGGATGGCAGTATACACCCTGAAGCCCACCCGCCCCCTATCAGTTTTCTTTCATGTGACCACAGTGACCTGTGCTTGGGTTCATTGCCAGTGGTGGGCCAGAAGGTGGGGATGGTGAGCCTCTGATGTTGGGGGTTTAGTTGTTTCCTCTTCCACATGTCTTACTAATAGAAAACAAAAACAAAAAGGCCTGATAATGTGGTGCATTCTCGGTTTAATATTCATTACTGTCTTTGGTCTGATGGGGCCAACTTGAACTCGTGGGCCACTTGAGCACTGGATTAATAGGCAGGAGGGGTGGGCTCTGGGTCTGTGTGGTGAGCGACTGGGTGACCTTGGATTACTCACTTACACTTCCTTATTCTCACCTCTGAAGGGAGATGATCCCTATATCCTTTCCAATGGTGACGGAGCAGGATTCCAATTCCAATAGGTCCTACACAATACTTCTTTGCTTTACTTGTACATTAAGCAGAGTGAGGGAAGAATCAGATGTGGGGTAAAGAGTGGTGCCTGTAATAATAAATATGTGTATTCTGGGAGGAGGAAGTAGAGGGCAGAAAGATGGGAGTTATCCAGAAAGGCCACAGGCTGAGGAAGAGAACCACTGTCAGTCATTCTCCAGAGCACAGGGCTACTTGTTCTTGAAAGAGTTGCCTCTAATAAGTCAATCCGTCAAAGAACAAAAGCTTACTGAACATTTACTATGTACCAGGAATGTGCCAATTTACCTAGTAGCAGAGTGTTGGTGATAAATAAGACCAATATGGTCCCTGCCCCACTGGCACTTACAGTCAGTGAGGATCTCAGGACCTTGTGATGCTTGGAAAGGCATCTTCCTATTGCATTAATCATCATACTGGGTGTTGCTTCATTCATTCATTTATTCATTCATATGTTCATGAAGTTACTTTTTCATTCACTCATATTTCCAGCAAACATTTTTTCTTCACTAGGGCCACTGTCTTGGGGACTCACTAGCGTATGGAAAGTTCCTGCCTTCTAGGAGTTACAGCTACTGGGGCGCCTAAGGGCTGTATCTGGGCTAACTGCTAGATTAGCTGCCTAATTTGGACTTGTAAACAGCTGTTCCCAAGGGAGAAACAAGAACCCTAGTGGTGTTTATTACATGCTTATGTTCTGCCTCTGAGAGGAGGAGACTAGGGAAAGCACCAAATTTAAATCACAGACAGATTTCAGTTTGTATCCTGCCTTCACCATAAACCAACTGGATGACCTTAGGCAGGTCACTGATTTTCTCTGAATCATAGTTATAATTGTGACTTCAAAGGGTAATAGGAAAAAGTGAGATAAGCTATATGGAAAGCAAGTATCACAATTTCTGGCCATAGTAAATGCTCAATAAGCCTGAGTAACGTTTATGATTATATGACTAAAAAGGAAGAGAAATCCATGCCAAGGGACCTATCTGATGTTCATTGGTAAGACCACACACATTTCCTCCAGGATAAGGCTCAAATAATAGTGTTTTGTTCACAGCTAGAGTCTTGGCAGGCACACTCTTCAGGCTAGAGAGGAGCTGGGCTCAGGAGATTAAATGGTAAAGGGGCAAGGAAATTGGAAATTTGGGATTAGGTTGGAGAAGGCAGGAATTCAGTATCTCAACCAATTCACGTTTCCATTAAAAAATACTGGATTCAAAAATTTAAATTTGAGCCTCTGTGCATACTGGTTTTCCAGGCTAAATGATGTTTAATGCAGCCACTTTACTGAGACCATTTTGTAATGGGTTATTTTCAGCTTTTTAATAATCAAATAATGGGTAAAACAGGGCTCCCTTTCCACATTCTTGATCCCTATTCCCTTCCATCTGAAATGGGAAGTTAGGGATAAGGTAGAGTTGAGGTTAGTGGTGAGCTCAGGAGTGTACATGGCATATATCACACTAGAAGAAAGGAGAGTGCTTTTATCTTTTGATGCAGCAATATTAAAATGTCTCTAGAGTCAACAATGACCCTACTAAATAATTCATGTCAATGTCCTGCTGCTTCCAGTTTCAGTTCCAAAATGTAAAGAGCTTGAGAGTCATCACTCTTGTTTTTATAAGAAAAAATGCTGAACAAACTAAAAATTCATGACTTTTCTTAAGTCCCCTGGAAAGCTGAAGTTGCAGGGCAAACTGCCACCCCAAAATTTTGAGGCCAATACAGAGAATCAAAGCGAGGTCTGCTTGCTGGGAGCAGAAGTTCTGAATTCATAAATTGATAGGAACACTTAATGGTGATTTTGACAAATTGTTAGAGGGTGAGTAGAGACTAGTGTGAGAATAAGACACTCCCGGGGGCTACAGTTTCAGGAGGAAGTGCACTGTTGTGGCCTTTTCATTCAGGAACTCCACCAGATTCTCACAGGATTCAGTATGTTATGATAACAGTGGGTTATGGCTGAAAGAGCTTCAACATATTGACTATTTAAAGAGGAGTTCATAGAGAAGCTCACAGATGACATGGGAGGCAAAAACAAGGACACTAGAGGAATTTGAAACCTCTGGTACCTTCTGCAGACATTAACTACAGCCCAACTCTTAGCTACATGAAAATAATAACTCACACTAAAGGCGTGTTTGCTTCAGTTCCTATTACCTGATAAATAATGTCCAGCTTTCAATAAAAAACTATAAGAAAGGCAAGAAAAAACACAGGTAAAGCAAGCATCCGAACCAGACTCAGATGTGACACAGATTTTGGAATTACCAAACAGGGACTTACCAAACAGGGAATTTAATGATGATGAACATGATAAGGGCTCTCGTGGTAAAATAAGACAACATGCAAGAACAGATGGGTAATATGGGCAGGGAGATGGAAACTCTTAATA